CAGTTAAATCAAGAATCCCTAAAGATAAAAATTTATCTCTGAGAAAGTAATTCAATTCACAAAGCAATATATGGAAAAGAAAATTCCAGCCCAGCAGTGAGTCTTAGCACAAGCTTTACTATTCTCAACACAATTTATATTCCCTAGGCAGCAGTAGATCTCTTACTGCCATTTAGCTCAGTTTAACAAACTATGACACATCAGGGAGGTTTGGACATTAGATGCTTTAGGCTCCTAATTTACAATAGTTTGAAGCCTGAATAGGAGACTGCTTACCTCAAACTTAATTTCAGAAATATTTTTGCTTCTTTACAATTTTTCAGCTTAATGAAAAAATACATTTGCAAGAATAAAATGTACTTATTACTAGGAATCAGAAGTTAATGTAGATGTAATTACATCTATTTGTCTTGAAAAGATGATACAAATCCTGTGCTGCCCCCTGCTCCCAGCATGCTAAAAGAATCTTCACTCATCATTACTGTTACCAGAAGCTCTGTAGGCAATATTGATTTTTTTCATTATTCACTCATAACCATTTAAATAACAACAAAACCCAACAGGATATTGCTTTCTCTCAAGTAGAAAGAAGCAGAGTAAATACAATTACATTTTAATTAAAAAGTATATGGACTCGAGTCATTTATGAAGACAGTACCAGGAATTGTCAATAGTTAGAACTGTGCTTTAATTATGTTATTCCTAGAAATGACCAGATTAGAGGCATTTATTGACTGGAAGCAGTGGCTGAAGAAGGACAAGATACTCACAGCACTTATGAAGTTACCCATAAATGTAAATAAAGGGAGAATGAGAACATGGATGTGGTCATCATGAAACAAACCACTCTGATTCTATTAAGTGGGTTTCAGAAGATGCTTTAGGGGACAGATACTCAGGCTACAGTTTCATCTCAAGTTCAGGAAATTCATAAGCACATCACAAATTCACTTGATCTCCAGGCACTCCCCTGATTTCCAGTACTGAAGAAACCAAATTCTTCAATAAAACCTTTGCACTTCTTCCTTGAAACAAACTCCCCACACATGCCCACTGCGACAGAAGTGGACAGCAAAGCTGCACATTTCCAGTTTCTTTACAAACAACAAGGCAACTTCATTTACAACTCTGAAAACACCAAGGGAGTCCTAGTCTTGTTCCTGGACTATTCAGGTCAATGTTTGTCAACACGTGACCTGCAAAACGTAAAAAGAGCCATTCTCATTCATACAAGCAAGCCAATAATTTGTGGGAAAATAAGTGAAAATTCAGACTTTAAAGATTGTAGATTAATGACACTCTTACAGCAATTGCTGGGTGAACATGCCTTACATGGGGGCATGGACTTCCCAAAGGAAGAAACAGGATTCAATTTCACCATCAACTAGATGACTTTGCTGTTGTAAAAATTTTGTCTAGCAGAACAAGAATACTCCCAGAACTGTATTTCCTGTCTACAATGATGCATTTTCTTTTTCTGTGCTATACAATGAAAAAATACCCTGAGCATCCACATTTGGTTTTTTTTCAGGATCAGCTCTGAATTACAAACACAAGTCAAGACCAAATATTCCAGCTGAGGTTTCTGGAAATTAAGTACCTGTGACAAAGAGAAAGCTAATCATGTGACTAGTGGAACAGACAGGCAATGCCAACCAGGACAGCTTTTAATTATTTTGGATGCAAGCACTACACATGAAGCAGGGACCAGTACCTGTGACAAAGAGAAAGCTAATCATGTGACTAGTGGAACAGACAGGCAATGCCAACCAGGACAGCTTTTAATTATTTTGGATGCAAGCACTACATACACATGAAGCAGGGACATGTTATGCCAGGCAATGGACAAGGACAAACTTCCCTAGCAACAAACAACAACTGTTAAATCCTGGAGTTTCTAGGAGCTATTTCATGACGTTAAAGCACATCTGGCTTTCCCTTCATATCCTGTTCCAGCAATAGCACAATCAGGTTAATAAACCAGTGCCAGCAGCTCACCTGTAACTGTTTGCTATTCCTCTTCCTCTTTCCTATCCTCACCCTTTCTCAAAAGAGTTTCACCTGCTGATTACTGAGTGACATCTGTGGCTGTTCCCTAACTGAGCTCAATCAAAATTATCTAGGCTGTTTTAAACACTGTTTAAATTCAGATCTTTTTAAAAGGTTTGGGGTCAGGAAGTACCTCAGCCATTCTAAAGAGGGAGCAATCTATTGCAGGCAGGGACAAAGGCAACAAGCAGCACAGGACAGAACCTCAGAGGGCCTTCAGAACAACACATTTCATTCATCTTCATTTATTATTTCTGTACTACTGACTTGCTCATCACTAGAGAATATAATTCCCTGGTACCTATTCTGTTTAGGAGAAAAAATTTTTAGGTGGAGGCAGCTTCTCAATGTGACTCATAAAACCAACTCCAAACATAGGCAGGGCATCTATAGGTTACAAATAACTTGTACTTACTATGATGAAGCAATGTTCCATTGGCATTTGTGGACTACTGGATTTCTATATGGAGGTAAAGGACTATATTCTCTCCAAAAGTCATTAAATCTACATTACTTGTATAAAATGACAATATTCTGGACATTCTTCAGTTTCAATGGCACCACACCTGCACAAGGACTTCAAACAGTTCCTGTCCTAAAGAACTTGCAACCTACAGCAGTAGGTATGGCTGTCTGGGCTGAAGTTGAGGATGGAGATACACTCTTGTAAAACATATTTATCTCAAGCCAGTGGCTGCATCGATACCACTTACATGCACTCAGCTTGACAAGCTGCATTAAGCTGATGAAACAATTTACATAGATTAAATATAAACAAAATTCAAGCATTAAGTCTCAAGGTTATACAGGCATTGTTTTAAGATACACTATTAAGTCAGCCTTGTGTGTACCTAAGACTCTTCTGATAAGAGTAACCTTGAACCTGTGGTTTTCAGGGATTTCACTAATAACCTTGACTAGTGTTCCCATGGTATCCCCATGCAGAAAAAAACCCTTGATTACACCACTTTGAATTGCATAATAAACCTAAATATGCACTGTTTATTCCCCAGGAATCTGATCATTTACCTACTCTCAGATCAATGCTTTTAAGGATGCTTTCAATTAGGAAAGAATTGTTGGCAAAACTGTCAAAGGAAACAAAGGTTTGCATAAAAGGACAAATAGGATAAATAAAACATTCAGGTTACTTTGGAAAATTGAGTTCATTTGAATACATGACATAGTACAGCTAAATGCCAGGTCAAGTATCTAGGACAAGAAAAACAAGCACAATGCATCTTAGAGACAGTGATTCTGAAAAGGGCCCAAGGAGGAAGCAGGTATAGAAAAAAACCAGCAGAGCCACCTCTTCTAATGCAATCCTGCAGCAAACAATCCCTTTTTGTTTCAGAAACACATGGTGAGATTATAGGGAGGCAATGTTTGTGTTCAGCAATAAGCTTACACAAAAACCAAATATACCCAGAGACAGGGTTCACTCTTCCAGAATAAGTACCCTAAAACTCAAAGAGGGCTCACAGAAGCTCTCCTGGAATTGTATCACTCAAAAAATAAACACGAATCCAAATCTATTTTGATTAAACAAGTCTGTCATTTTATCACAGTTTCTAAGAATCCATATAGAGGAAGTACTGAGGCTAGTAAAGAACTCTGCTCCAGAAGAAAAATGCAAAAGACCTGATAGTTACAGCTTCAGCTAACTCAGACTGGATGCAGCAACTACAGCTAACCACTGCAGCAACTGACAAAATAAATGTTTGTGTTGATAAGAACATAAAACCCAAGAAGTTCTGCAGTCACCAACACATCAGGCAGAGATTAAAGACACAGAATGTCATACACTAAGTAAAATAAAAATCCATGTTTTCAAACCTATCTATGGTAGCCAGCAGTCATTTCAAAGTGTGCTAGTGAGAAGTTTAACTATGTTAAACCTACTTCCCTCACTCCTTCCCCTAAACCTATGAAGTACCCTTAAGCAAGAAAGTGTTACTTATTAATTTATGTCTATTTAAATCAACCTAAGCCACTACTCAACATAATTCCTGGTCCTGATTTTACAATGCTTGAGGCTAAACTTCTGAAGTGCTTCTGGTTAGCTTAAGGAGAGCATAATTTGTCTTCCCTGATATTAAGTTTAATGGTCATATTTAAGAGTGTATCAGTCAAACAATCCATCCCACCTATAACATGATCCACCCCACTATAGCTGAACATATAATGATATATTTCTTCCATTACCTGTCTCTGAAATATAAACAACAGGATCCTGCTTTAGAAGTTTACCAAGTTTTGAAGTAGCTGCTTTTTTCTCAGGTGGCTCCTGGGATTTTTTCACTGACTGCACCTCCTCTTCTGAATCTGTATTTTGACCACAACATAAATGTAGATTTCCTCCACATACACACAGGCTTTAAGTAATAGCTCATATAACAGTTAACATGTGTTTACATATGCTCAACTGAGTGAGAAAACGATTCCATATTCCTCCCATATGGAAGGTCAAAGCATAGCTTTGTTTTTCAACATTTATTCCAGCATATAAATGACTCAATAAAAATCTCAGACTAAATGAAACTCAGTCTTGACAATGGTTTTTGTTACATAAAGTTCCAAGAACTTCTATGTCTGTATAAAAATCTTTCTGAAAAGGAATGGAACTGTCAAGGGTACCCACAGATGTTTACTTCCACATTAAAAAAAAATAATAAAAAGATGTTTACTTCCACATTAAAAAAAAAAATAAATCAAATCCACAAAAAACGGCTGCACTCTGATTTTTCAGGAGAACATTGGTGGACTCACCACTCACCTCACCAACCATTCTCCATACCTCAAAAGCTGTCAAAGTGACAGACTCCTGTGGATTATTTATCCCAACATCCAAATGACTAAGCAGGACAAACTGCAGAAGCAGAGATAACTAACAAGTGTAAGAGAGGGCTAACCTTCAGATCCTTTTTCCATAACAAACACTAATACACAGTAATTAGATATTTTTTAAAAGAGCAGCTATGCAGTCCTGCCACCCTGCACAAAACAAACAAAACTCTACCACAGACTTTTCCATCTTCAAGAGCTTAGAGCACTACTTCTCTTTCTCTCCTGCTACCAAGGCACTAAAATTTGCAAAATCTCCAAACATCAGTACTCTAAAAGGTAGCAGTTGAGTTAATATATTACTTTTGTGCTCCACTGTTCCTCACTGCTAAACAGCAACTGCTTATAAAAATGTTAACTGAAGATTTGAATACATTTTTCTCTATACAGTAGGATTATTATGACATGTTTCTCTGATCATTTTTTCTTCTATAAGAGAAGCAATCTTCAATTAAAAAGATTGCT